CAGTTGCGTGATTGCAGTAAATTTTGAATGATAAGAAAAGATTTGTAAGGGTTTGTGGTGTGTGTTGGTTAGGGAATACGTTGCTTGCTCTATGGTTTAGACAGTAAAATGGCTGAACGTGGTAAGAATAATTTGAAGTTTCTGTACGATTTGGAACGAAAGGGAAAAACAGCATTAATTGACTGTTGTGTAAATGAAGGTTTACTTAATAGCCATTATAAGTGTCTTGTTTACAGGAAGATAATGCGTATGGTCGAACGTCGGAGGATATTTTTTACTCTTATTTTTTGTGAATTCATGTGGCGACGCCGATATATGGATTCTAGTTCAGATAATTTTAGGAAGTTTTTGGATGCTGTTAAGGAACTTTATTTGACTGAAGACAGAGAAATTCATAAATAAGGTGAGTGGATATTTCCTTTGTGTAATGCTAAGATGTATTTCCTTTTTTATGTTATTCCATTGTTTGATTTGAAATGTAGTTTATTGAGATTACATATTTTTTGTTGGCTGCTCCTTTGACTTTTTAAGGGAATATAGATTCATGTGAACATGGATATCGAGTTTGTGCAATTCTTTGACTTGGTTATTTCGTTTTTGTGTAGCACAGACTTTTTTTTTGGCATAAAAAATTGCCACTACACAAAGCCAAAATAACAAGTCAAAGAATTGCACAAACTCGGTATCCATGTACTGCCAAAAATTGCCAAAGGGCATGCGTAAATATATTTTTACTGAAATGTCAATCTTTCTTGGGAAGTTTTATGTCAAGGACAAACGATTCTTATTTTGATACAAATGTAGGATTAAGCATCCCAAATAAACCTGTCTCATCTATATTGAATATTTGACTGGGAGAATATTCTCCATCTAGAGTAATTTGGGACAGTAGAAAATAAATTCTTTCACAGCATCTTTATCTGCATCAGACGATTCTCCACTGTATTTAATATTATGTAAAGAATGCATCAATTTTAAATTTGTCGAATTAACCGTTGCTTGCTTGAAACAACGTGTTTAAATCTGCATTTAACATGCTGACTACCACATGAGTTTGTAAGAAAATTTAATTTAGGACATGACCACTACTCTACCACCCCACTGGAAGAGTGTAGAATAAAAGATTTTGGGACATGCATTCAGTTTAAAATTTTTCCTGAAGAACGAAATATCTAAGAAAGGATGGGAGACTCAACAATTATTTCTTCTTTTCTAAATATTTTTTCTGTAATGACAAATGACAGAATTTTTTTTGGGTTGAAATTATTACCTCAACTTTTTACAATGTCTAAAAGAAAAATGAAAGAGTAATTTTTAGGTGAATCATATGGCAATGAAGAAGAAACCTGCTGTGAGGCTTGCAAGTATTCAAAAAGTAGCAATGAAAAACAGTCACGAATTTTCAGAAAGAAAAATTATAAACAAAATTACATCTTCAGATTTTGATTCGAGTACTGATAAATGCAGAGATAATAAATGTGGTGCAGATACTACTAATCATATTTAACAAGAACTAGTTATTCAGGAAGAAAGAAAATCGAATACCGAAGAAAGCATAATTAAGTAATTAAGTTTAGTGAATGGAATGAATTTAGCTATTGGCAACTATCATTTTCGTTTCTTTCTTTCAACAATAATTTTTTTCTCATAACTAGTTTACCTTGTAAGTACACAAAGAACTGCCCCCCCCAAATATGAATGACGCATTCTGATCAAATTTTTGCCATCATCTAGTCTTCCAATTTTCATGCAAAATAAGAGCCTTAGTTTAAACAATTAAAATAGGGGGGTAGGTACATTATTTTGATGCTGATCATCAATCCATGAAGATGAACAAATTTCCCTTTCCTCCACCATTGTGTGTTTTAGAAAAAAATCTTTTAAGATATACTTCCACAATTTTGAACGTATTCCTTAATTTTGCTCATATTTTTCAAAACTGAAATATCACAGATCTGTTAATATTGTACAAATGTTCGAGTAAAGCAAAAGATTCACCATTTTTAGATTGTTTACTTATTTCCATCTTTGTCTCGATTAAGTTTATAAGTTACTTTCTTCCTCTTTCCAGCATGCATTCATGGTGTAATGGTAGCACACCTGGCTAATGTTTGAGTCCCGGTGAAGGCATTGCTAATTTTTCATGTACAGGGTGATCTTTTTTAAAGTGACAGTGTTTGGAGCGCTCTGTAGCGCGATCTAATAGCCGAAATGGCACCAAACTTGGTATTTAGACTAATCAGAACATGGGACATCAAGACATACAATCGTACAGTTAAATTATTAATGTTTATTTACTATATTAACTTCCCCGGTGAGGAATTAGACCACATTCAATGTGAGCACCGCTCTCAGAAATAACACCGTGCATTCTGTGCACTACGTTCTCCACAGCTGTATGTAACATATCACGAGGAATATTCCACACTGTCTTTGTTATGTTGTCCTTTAGAATAGACAAATTTGATACTCCACCAACATAAACTTGAGATTTCATATAACCACAGAGCCAAAAATCGCACGGCGTGAGGTCAGAGGAACGAGACGGCCATGCAACTGGAAAACTGTGACTTATGACTCTACCATCAGCGAAGTTTTGGCGCAACAGCTGCTTTACCTTACTATGAATGTGTGGCGGAGCACTATCCTGCATAAAGATTGTCTGTTGGAAATGGTTTCTTAGCTGAAGTTGTGGAATAACAAATGTTTGCAGCATTTTGTGGTACCTTTCTGCATTTAAAGTGCACATTTGTGGTCCTGTCGAAGCGATGGTCTCAAAAATGAATGGCCCAATTATGAATTCGGCTCTGAAACCACACCAAACAGTGACTTTTGGGGAATTTAATGGCATTTGGTGCACGGTGTGGGGCTGCTCAGAAGCTCAAATTCGGGTATTTTGTGTGTTTACGGACCCATTGAGATAAGAATGGCACTCATCTCCCCACAGAAAGTGCCATGGGAAAGCATCATCAATTTCTAACCTGGCAAGAAACGATAGAGCGAATGTCAAGCCCTTAACATAATCACTTGGTTTCAGTTTGTGCAAGCGGCCGATTTTGTAGCGGTAAAATCCAATAACGCGCCGCAAAAACTCTCCATGTCATGGAATAATTCATGTCCTATTGTCGAGCTTCACCCCGGGCGCTGCTAGTACCAGCAATGGTTCCCTGCGACCCTTCAACAATTGCAGTTACCACATCAGTTATTACATCTTCTGATACTGGTTTACGTTTTCTTTCAGCGCGAAAGGTCAGTAACCCCGTGTCCTCGAACTTCTTAATCATTTTCTTAAGACCATTCAGCGATAAATGCCCCTTTCGTAATTTTTTTCTGGTTCGGAATTCCCGAAGAGCTGCGAATTCGTTACGTTGATTCATGTAATACAGCTTCACCGGTAAAGTGAGAGGCATGTCCACTGGAACTTGTTTACTTCAGCTGAGATTATTTGTCAGAGCTGTCTACTACTTGCTTTTATAGGCCCTATTACTGGTGCTGTCATCGCACAATATTTGCATTTTCCTTTGATACCCATATTTTATGCTAATTCTCATTATTGTAAGCTACAGCAGCGCCACAAAATGCCATAGTGGCAATTTTTGGAACTAAATTTTTTCTTTTCACGGAATCCTTTTTCCCATGTCTTGATTAGTTTAAATATTAAGTTTGGTGCCATTTCGGCTATTAGATCGCGCTACAAGGCGCTCCAAATACTGTCAGGGTTCGTACACATTTCTGCACACGAAAATTAAGTACTTTTAAGGACCATTAATGAAAAAAATCAAGGACCTATGAGAAAATAGGAACTGAAAAAATTCAATTAAAAATATTATCTATGCCTGAATTTCACTTTTGTGATACCATCCTAAAAATAAAACAGATCTCTAAGTAGTCTGCATTATTACTAAACATGAATTATTAATAAGTTTGAGAATAAAATAAACTTTATGCAATTTATCAAATAGCATTAAATATTTTACACTTACAACAGATGGACATATTTGAAAGAAGATAAGTGACATTTACGTGTTACCCACAGTTAGCTTTATGTTGATTTTTTTAAATGTCTCATTTTGTCACGTACTTGATCAGTCTAGAGGTTGAGTACATATCAGGTAGATTTTATGTCAAACGCCATAGGTTAAAATGAGAAGTAAGATCATATTCAGCATGATTCAGAGCAAAAGACTGAATATTGTTACTGCTGCTGCTTGTCTAGAAAGAGACCTGCTCATTAGAACAAATCTGAAAGGCCTGATGTAGGTTCACAAGTGTTGAAAGTTAGTCGGGCTCTGTTTGATGCAGTTCGTGTCGTAGCTTCGTGTAGAGTTTCAGGGGTTGTAACCCAGTTAATATACTTTAAGGTTACAATAAGCCATTAAAGAACCAGAGGTGATAAGTAACTTTGTATTAAGTCTCACTAGATGCAAAGAATAAGTTTTACTTTCTTTTTTTCGTATTAACACTGAAGTTTCTATGTTTCTCACTCATGTTTATCAATTTATAAGGATGACATATACAAATATAATAAATTAGAAAAACACATAACACATCGATGCATGCCTTAATGCAAAACTGAGACAGTTTTGATCTTTTGCTCGAAACAACCCAGTAGCGATTATGATTCTGAAAAGTTGGCTTCTGTAGGAAATAGTGCGTGTCTACGATGTATGTTACTACACAACTCACCTATTCGTGGCCACGAATGCCTCCCACTAGTAAGAATGGGAGATGGAACAAGTGAGATGAAAACAGTTGACCAATGAGCAAATTTTTTCATTATCGACAAAAATCTTTTAAAAATTCAATTTTTTAAAAGGTGTGAAATAGTGTATTGTGTGAAAGTCAAAGGTTGCCTGTAAATTATTACCCACAAGGTATTTTGGCTTGAAAATTCCATTTCTGAAATAATTACCTTCCTGTACTATTCTAGACACATACGTAAAATATTACTTACTACAATCACATTCCTATTTAGTGAGAAAATATTTTTTACCACTTACCAGAGCCACAAACAACAAAGATAAATAAGCCTAAAAGCCAGGGTCCAACGGCATACTTTTCATCTTGTGCTTTCTACAGAAACAAAAAAAAAAAAAAAAAAAAATTAAAATTATAACATAAAACAAAACAGAAATGTATTTTAAGCATATATCTAAAGAAATATCATTAAGTGTTACATTCTTTATGACAGATATTGTATGGGATCTCATATATTTCCCATACAAATTGCAAAACAGTCATTAATCCATGGTCCTGCTGATAGTGGATTAAATAACTATGAGTAAGAATAAAATAATTATAAAGTTTTGATAACTGTTTTGCTTATTACTGAAAGATTAAAAAATACTTTTTGAAATAAATTACATAAATTATAACTCCCCACCCCCCAAGTGAGCAACTTATGACCTTTCACAATATGTCATAAGAAATAATACAGTCAAAAGTCGTTAATTCGGACACCCATAATGCGGAATGATCTATAATCCGGACCTCAAAGCTAAAAACTTTCTGCACATGCGGTGCATTGACAAATGCGCATAGGCGTTTACGCGTGCGCGTAAGACCTTTACGACTGCACATATGCATGTGCGCAAGTGCAGAATACGTTTTCGCGTGCGCGTTTAATGTATAACGGACGGTATAAGTTAAAATTATCTAATTATCTATTTCAGTTAATGTTGATGATTGCGTTGTTCCTTAATCTTCGAATTGGATCCGGTTTATTATTTTTTGAAGACTATAAGAGCAATTTTATAAAAGTAAACTTAAACCTTCGATTATGTCAAATAGAATTTTCAATGATGGAGCTCCCAAAGGATCTACAAAACGAAAGTATGTTTCGATGTCCAACAAACAAAAAGTGGAATTGCTGCAAAAAATTGATAAAGACATGGAGAATGTGACAGAGGTTAGTGAAAACAAAAAAATTTCGATTGACAGGTTAGTCGGTATTCTCGGCACAGCAATTAACGGGACTTGAACAGCGGAACTTTGTAACTGAACAAGAAATTATGTCTTTTTATAGAATTAAATAGAAAGTATTATCACATAAAATGAAGCAACTTAAACAACTTACATTGAGAGAAATGTTTAATAAAGTAAACAAATAAATATTAAGCTTTTTTTTTTTTTTTTTGTAAATTTTGATACTCTTTAGATCATAATTGCTCTTTATTTCATAAATTACGGTTTCATATTTTTAATTTTAGAATTTCTGTGTGCCATCTTACGAGATTTAAACTGTTGATCTATAATCCGGAATCGAAGTCCCGACGAGTCCGGATTAACGATTTTGACTGTATATGTTGTTTTTTGGGTTAGAGCAGATTTAAGGGTGCCCCTTATATTATTGTGAAGTTGTTGAACACGTAAATATACTTTTACAATTTTTTGTTAACCCGCTACTACGCGCGCCAAAATTACGAACACGAGAAGGCACGGTTGGTATAACATATCTGAAAGCAATTAACATGTTTTAAATTACATTAATAATATAAATATGAGTATAAATGTGGATTAACATAAAAAACAATGAACTTTACAATATTTTAAAGAATATAATAAATGAAATAACATACAATTATTTTGCACATCTCTGGCTGACTGCCACATATGCTCTATACAAATACCGATATTACATTTCTTGCATAGAAACCGTGTCTTTCTGTCCTTGCTTTTAGGGCACTCAGTGCATCTTCCGTAAACGTTTTTCATCTTTTTAGAAGGTGGTTCCATGTTGCAATCTTCTGAAATTATTTTTTCTTTTAGTTATAAAGGAAGCAAGATTTGCTGCCGCCGTTGACTTGAGTAATCTTCCACTTTCGAATAACCAGTATTTCCTAGAATTTTAAAGATAATGCTTTCAGAACTAGTCCTAACAGTCGTTCGGAATTTGTTTTTCTTCCATACTAAGACATTTTTACCAACATAATTTTCATCATTTCATTGATTTTCTAATTCACTATTATTTTGCACATCTCTGGCAGACTGAACACATGTGTTCTATACAAATTCTCAGTTAGTATCTGTATCACTGTCTGTTGATGAATTATAATTGCTGTTGTGTTCATCTATTAATTCTTCCTCCCTCCTCTTCTCTAAACGTTCCATCATCTGTTGAAACGGTTTCTAGCACATTTCTCAACCTTTTCCATTTCTTTATCATCACTTAAATGCCATGTGATACTGACTAAGAAAGTGATGATGAAAATCTGAGAGACACGAGAAGACACGCGGGTGTCACATACACAAATGGTACAATTCCTAGAAAAGTACTCGAAGAATCACTCCACGGATTTCCCAGCTTCATGAATGTGATCTTGAATTCAGCTACAAAAGGTTTCGTCCATTTCCAGGATAGGGGTTTTGAGATAAGGGACAAAGAATATGCCTCTGGGCATGACATACCCGGCACGTGTGCTCGTGGGTTAACTACACCATATTAAATAAAATAACGAATAGAATTTCTCAGCATATTTAATAATAAATAGAACCTGGAATGTTTACATATCATACTTTAAACAAACTGCTTACATAACTGCCTATAAGTTCCATTCAATTATTTAAAGTAAATTGAGGATAAAATTGTATTAAATACTATAATAAATAATAATTTATATTAACTCTCTTCTACATGCATATGTTGGGGATACTCAGATAACCGGCACTTGGCGAGGTTCGAAAAGTGTTAGGTTGCTAGCTCAGATGTTAACCAAGACAGGGAAAAGGATATTTTCTTTCTACATTTTTTTCTTAACGTTGGGTGTCATAACTTTGCAGATAAATCTTTGTGAGATGATCAGATAACATTGTTACTAGACATTTTGAATTTGCTGTTTAATTATTTCTAAATAAATTAATTACACCTGTAATTAGAATAAGATAATTTTATTTTTATATAAGAAAATTACAAATGTGCTCCTTTTCTGTACACATTATCCCATGTGTATTTACATATAATTAATTTTCTAAATAAATTAATTTTAAAAATTTATTTAGAATTTTTAATTATAGACTAATTTAAGTCTCATTTTATTCTGATAAGTCATTTTATTCTGATTAGAAGTGTAATTTAAATAAATTACACTTCTAATCAGAATAAAATGATTTTATTTTTATAGAAGAAAATATGCTCTTTTTCTAACTTATCTACTTAAAATTTAATTATATGGGACTCTGGCCATAACAAACAGAATTTCTAAATAAATTAATTGTACTTCTAATATGAATATATTATTTTTAATTTATGGAAGTCATTTGTTTAATCTAACCAAATGCCTTTTTTCTTATTATGTCCACGTATAAATAGGATTAGTATTGTTTAGAATATGAAAAGCACTCCCAGGGTCTTTGCTTAAGAAGAAGGAAATCCATTAGCCAGGACTTGACTCCAAGACAAACTACTAGTGTGCAACAGTTTTAACCCTAGGCCGCTGAAAGATACCCTGTATCATAAAAGCAGTTTTTAACCCCCCCCTCATAATCAAATTTATATTCAAATATAATTATTAAAATCCAATAAAATGATACTCAGACTGAAATGCTAACAAGTTAGTACAGTACAAAGTCTTTAAACCATACTGATCTATAATCCGGATCTCAAAGCTACAAACTTTCTGCGCATGCATAGTGTTTATGCATGCACTTAATACGTTTATGCACGCACATCTAATGTATAACGGACAGTATAAGATATGCTAAAATTATCTAATCTATTTCAGTTAATGTTGCAGATCACCTTGTTCCTTAATCATCTAATTAGATCCGACTTATTATTTTTTGCAGACTGTTAGAGCAATTTTATAAAAAGTAAGCTTGAACTTTCGATTATGTCAAAAAGAGTTTCTGATTCTGGAGCTGCCAAAGGATATACAAAGTAAAAGCATGATTCGATGTCCATCAAATAAAAAGTGGAATTGCTGCAAAAAATGGATAAAGGCATGAAGAAAGTTGTAGAAAACGAAAAAATTTCTATTGACAAGCTAGTCGGTATTCTCGGCATAGCAATTACAGGACTTGAACAACGAAACTTTGTAACTGAACATGAAATTATGTCTGTTTATAGAATTAAAGAGAAAGTATTACAGTCAAAAGTCATTAATCCGGACTCGTAGGGACTTTGGCAAATCCAGATTATCGATTTTTCCGGATTATAGATCAGTTTAAATCTGGTAAGATGGCATGCAGAAATTACAAAATTAAAAATATGAAACCGTAATTTATGAAATAAAGAACAGTTATGATCTAAAGGGTATCAAAATTTACAAAAAGAAAAAGCTTAATATTTATTTGTTTACTTTATTAAACATTTCTTTCAATGTAAGTTGTTCAAGTTGCTTCATTTCACATGTGACAATACTTTCTCTTTAATTCTATTAAACAGACATAATTTCTTGTTTAGTTACAAAGTTCCGCTGTTGAAGTCCTATAATTGCTGTGTCAAGAATACCGACTAATTTGTCAATCGAAATGTTTTCGTTTTCAATAACCTCTCTGTCACTTTCTTCACTATCGGAAGGGAATTATAATGACGAGGAACTTGATTTAAACCATATCAAAGACGGAGTACATCGAGATGAAATGCTACATTTAGTAAGGAATTATAAGCCAAATAAAATAAAAACATCTGCCCTGAAGATAAGGATAGTGCTGACAGATCAACTTCCAATTCATTGCGCGTCCCCCCCACCCTGCCGCAGAGCAGCGTGAAATTGATAAACAGATTTTGGATTTCAAAACATACTTTCGCTTTGTAGATCCTTTATATATTAGTTAATATATATCGGAAATTCTATTTGACATAATCGAAAGTTTAAGCTTATTTTTATAAAATTGCTCTAACATTCTGCAAAAAATAATAAGCCGGATCCAATTCGAAGATTAAGGAACAACGCAATCTGCAACATTAACTGAATTAGATAATTTTAGCTTAACTTATACCGTCCGTTATACATTAAACGCGCATGCGTAAATGTATTATGTGCTTGCGCACAAGCATATTAGCAGCCTTAAAGGTCTTATGCGCACGCGTAAACGCCTATGCGCATGCATCAAGGCGACGCATGAGCAGAAAG